GTGTGTGTGTGTGTGTGTGTGTGTGTGTGTGTGTGTGTGTCTGAGTGTGTGTGAGACTGAGCACGGACACTCCCCTTCCTCGCTCCCCCTCCTCGGCATCCAGAGGACTCAGGAACAAGCCTGCTGCCTTCCCTGTCCTCGAGCTCGTGGACGTCGGGAGGCTCCACACCTGGGCTGCCTCGTCTGCCAAATGTGTGAGCCGCCGTGCTGAGCAGCCTGGCAGGGCTCTTTGAAAACATGAAAGCTGATTAAAAGGCTTTGAGGACAAGAAGATACTTGAAAAATAAACATCCCGCTTCCCCGTCTTCAGTTGAAGATGGCGCCCTGTGGGAAGGAGAAAGACAGGCATCTCAGACCACATTGGTGCACACGGAAGAGCAATCACTGGCAAAGGAATCGAAGGGGAAATGCGAATTAAAATGATGTAGTTTTGTTTTACAGTGGTCCGGCCTTTTTATTTTTTTTCTTTCACTGTAAATCTTTCATGAACCAAATTATACCAGAAAGTTGTATTTGCCGAGAGACTATTTGACAAGATCGTATTTGACTAAATAATTGGCTGTGTGGTGCTCATCTGTTGATATACAAATAAAAACATTAAAGGTAAATAGCAAGTTGGTTTAGACAAACGTTTACCGAAGGCCGGTTCTCCAGCAGGTGCCGCAGAGCTGCGTAGGAAATGGTACCGGACCAGGTGCTGCAAAGATGCCTGGGAAGAAACTTAGTTCCTTCGCTTGCTCAGGTGCTCTGCGCCACCCCCCACCCCCCGACACTAGAGTGAACACTTTGAAGAGGCCCGGTATTTTCGTCTTTCTGCCTGCCAAAGTGCCTTCGCATTACCGAAGGATCTCAGGATGAGCTACCTGGTGACATAATTTTATTATTGTGCAGTGGGAGTTTCCGCACTAGATAACTTGTCCAATTATATAATTACTGTCAAGAAGCAAGATGGATTGTTTCAAAGCCCAAGGCATCCTCTTTAGTAGGCATTCCCTAGCATTTAATTGGCGCAGTGTTGGTCGCCCAGTCCAGGCAGCTGACTCGGGAGGCACACATTTGGCCACTGTTCCCTGGAGGTAGTGGCATAAGGCCCCCTGCATCCTGAAGAGGCTTTACGACTGAGGCAGGTCTGGGGCCACCAGCCTCGAGATGCCCAGGCTGAGCCCCTGGAGGAGAACTCTGGGATCCCAATTTGGCTGAAGCAGACCCAGGTTTGCCTCAGTGGAATCTCTGCCCAAGCGACTTGATGCTTGGGGAAGGGCTCTTCATGATGGAGGTATGTTGTCTGCCACACCCTCTTCTGACCACACTTGATCAAAGCTGGACCGATTGGCAAAGGCCACTCACATATGCAGGTCCGCAGTTGTAGCCCCAGGAAGACAATAGAAGCGCTTGGAAGAAGAGCCTCTTGGTCAAGTGCACTGCGGAAGTGTAGAGTTAAACCCAGCTGAGTGAGTAGGAGTCCTTGGGTGGTACAGCTGTTTTAACACACTCAGCTGCTGACTGAAAGGTGTATGGTTCAAGTCCATCCAGAGGTGCCTCAGACGAAAGGCCTGGCAATGCACTTCTGGGAAAGCCAGGCACTGTAAACCCTGTGGAGAGCAGTCCCACTGATGGGACACAGGGAGTTGGAGCCGAGTCATCTGCCTGAAGCAGGGTGGATGGTTACAGTAGAGGCTTAATGTGTCCCAAATGTGTTGGGACACAGAATTTTTTTCTACAGGTTAGTTTGAGAGGGGAACTGATCAAGAATCAGAGTACCTAGGCTGGGGATACTCAAACTTTGTGGTTGTGGGATCCCTCTGTATTAGGGTGCTGTTGGGCCACTCCGGGTGGTGGTTCAATCCCACCCACTGGGCGAAAGGCCCTGTCATCTGCTCCTGTAAAGATCACAGCCACTAGGACCCTTTGGGACAGTTCTGCTCTGGCGCACGCTCGACGTCACTGACTTGCTGGAAGACTATGGGACAGTTCTGCTCTGGCACACGCATGACATCACTGACTTGTAGCACCCAGCAGCAATGGCAGCCAGGAAGCCCAGTCACGCCTGAAGCCTTAGGAAGTGTCTGCACATTTAGTTCCCTCCATCCCTCTCGCCCCTGCCCTTAATTTTCCTCCAGCTTTCTCACTTCACTTGTCTGCTTTACCAGGTAATCTGGGTGTACACCAGACCCCACATGGCAAAATGAGGCAGCTGGAAAATATGAAATTTATAAACATTCTAGTAAGAGGAGTGAAGAGAATGCCCAAACAGATGAAATGATATTGACAGTTCAAAGCCTTTAGGGTGGCTCAGCATCTCTGTTAAAGTTGGACACATGCAAACCAGGGGCGGAAGGGTCCGCTGCTCATTACATACCGAGTAGAAACATCTGGAAGTTTACCAGCAGTCACATACTAGGATGTTTGCAGAATGACTCAAACACCCGTCAGTGGTGCAATGGATGCATAATATTGGTATATTCACAGAATGAAGCAATACACCGATGAGAGTGAGCAAGCCACAACTCCACACGGGACGGCGACTCTCACAAATAGAAGGGCTGTGTGAGAAAAGAGAAATGAACACATCCCAGATCAACACCTTGACCCAATATGTCCAACAAATACTAAAAGAGCAGCAAAGTTAGCCTAGCGATCAACCCAGGGAAAGAGACACTAGAGCAGAAGTAAATGAGAAATAGGAACCACCCAGAGAAGTGATAAATCTAGAGGTTTCGATGTGTTCAGGTATCCTTATAAACTGACCTCCGAGCACTGCTTTTCACATGTGTTTTCATTCTAACTTGAGTCAAGGAATGTGTTTTTCTCGCGCGCAGTCGTCTTTATGCAGGGCGTCACCCTCTTTGCATGTATTTGGTCCCCGGCACCCTGATCTTCCTGTGGTTGATTTATTTTGTAGTGTTGTAGAGTTGTCTCTCACTCTTCAATGCCCCTCGAGTCTGATTGATGTGCTTTGAAGCCATTTCTTGGCCGCATAGATATTTACTTTGATTGTGTCTTGTTCAGTAGGAGCTCTGATGGTGCGGTGGGTTACATGTTGGGCTGTAACCACAAGGTCAGCAGTTTGAAACCACCAGCTAGCTGCTCCACCAGAGAACGATGAGGCTTTCTATTCCCATAAGGAGTTCCAATCTCAGAAACCCGTCGGGGCAGTGCTACTTGTCTGACAGGGTCGCTGTGAGGAGAATGGATTTGATGGCTGTGAGTTTGAGTTCTTGACTTGTTCCATTAACCCTTCAATCATTACATGATGTCCTTGTCTCTCATGCCCCACAATCAATTTTATCAGAAATTAATATTGCCACTCTTACTCTCTTCTTTTTCATTATCAGTTTTATTTTATTTTAAATTTACATTTTAGCCACTGTTAGTACTTTAATGTATTGCTTTTGCTTATAAAAAGTAGATGATGCACACTAAGAACATATGGATGGGCCATACAGAGTTTTCTAGTCTGGCTTTCTCATGCGATGGATATATTTTAAAATACTTTTATTGACATATAATTCACGTACCATACAATTCAGTGGTTTGGATATGTTAAAAAGAGTTGTGCAATCATTACAGTAATCAGTTTTAAAACATTTTCTTCATTTTTGTGCCCATTATTATTAAGAGCCCATATTTCCTCCCCAACCGCCCCTGCCATATTACTGTCTATATAGTTTTACCTATTCTGGATTTCATGTAGAGAAAATCATAGGGAAAACAAGAATACTTCTGGTTTCCTTTGACTGCCATTAGCTTGATGGGTTTCCTTCGTCCTTTGCTGTTTGGTCTGTTCGTGTCCTGTGTCTACGTTGTCTCCTGTGCGCAGCACACCCAGTGGGTCGTGCTTTCTTATCCTGTATGTGGCCCTGCCTCTCTTCACTGGTGGCTGTAATCCATCTACAGGGTAGTTACCTGGTGTAAACAAATTACACAATTTATTGCTGCCCGTTTTACTTTGTTGTGGGGCTGCGGCATCTGCACTGCACATCATTTCCCAAGCTGAACCCATCTTGTTGGTGGATCGTAGTGTTTTCTTCAGTGATGTGGTTGTAGTGTTTATTAAATCTTCGTGATTTTCCTCATTTTTGATGCCAAGCTCATAATTTCCATTTTAGCATCCCTTTAAGCTGGGTTTTTGTCACTAGCAACCAAAAGGGTTCTGCCGAAACATTTCTCTCTGTATTTTATCTTAATCTTGTCTCTTTTTCCAGAGATACCCCCCACACGTTATTTCCACCTTAAATAAACAAAGCTGAACACCAGGCAGGCTTCTCCTGACAATCCCAGCACCGAGTTTTATACAGTCGTGTGCCTAAGAGGCTGCTGGGGGACCTGCTGTTCTGGAAAATTGTCTGCCTTTTCTGGTTTTCTCTTTGCCCTCACAGCTACCAAGAGAGGCTCC